CTTTTCATGTCTGAGAAAGTATCAAAGAAAATGGTGTGGCATAAAGAAAAATGCATTGTTGATGACTATATGAGACATCCTGCAGACTCCCTTGCATGAAAAGATTTTGACAATGAGTTTTCTTGGTTTGCAAAAGATCCTAGAAATGTTCGACCTGCTTTGGCTGCAGATGGGTTTAATCCATTTGGAAACTTAAGTACCACGTACAACATGTGGTCGGTAGTTCTTGCTCCATTAAATCTCGTCCCATGGGATTGCATGGAACAACCGTTCTTTATGTTGTCTTTGCTTATTCCTGGGAAGAAGTCAACTGGAAAAGACATTGATGTCTACCTACAACCACTGATTCAAGAGTTGAAAACATTATGGGTTGATGGTGCACAAACCTTTGATGTTCGTCGTAAAGAAACTTTCAATTTACATGCTGTTGTTTTGTGGACAATAAATGACTTTCCAGCATATGGGGATCTGTCTGGGTGGAGCACAAAAGGTTACATGGCCTGTCCCATGTGCAATGAGAAGACACATTCTTTGAGATTGCGTAATAAGATTTGTTACATGGGACATAGACGCTACTTACCGAGAGATCATCCTTGGAGGAGAAGTAAGAAGTTTGATGGAAAAAGAGAAGACAATATGGCACTTCGAGATTTAAGTGGGGAGGATGTGTAAATGCAACTACGAGGATTACAAAATGTAACTCTAGGGAAACATGTCAACAAGAAAAGGAAGCGACACCCCGAGGAGTTAAATTGGACTAAACGCATCATTTTCTTTGATTTGCCTTATTGGAGTAAGTTGAAATTAAGGCACAATTTAGATGTAATGCATATTGAGAAAAATATATGTGAGAGCATCTTAGGAACCTTGATGAGTGCAGAAGGGAAAACAAAAGATACACTTAATGCCAGGCGAGATTTGGAGAACATGAAAATTCGCAAAGAGTTGCACTTGATCAATTCAGGCGGTAGAAAACATGTGATGCCTGCTTCTTGTTATGTAATGAAAAAAAAAATAACGACGTGTTGTGAATTCCTAAAGTCCGTCAAGTTTCCTGATGGTTATGCATCCAACATCTATCGTTGTGTAAGTTCAAGTGATCAAAAGATATCTGGATTAAAGAGTCATGATTGCCATATTCTTTTACAGCGAATACTTCCTGTTGGGATTCGTGGGTCCTTAAATAAAGAAGTATACCAGGTATTGGCTGAATTAGGCTATTTCTTTCAATGGTTATGTTGTAGGAAGTTGAAAAAAAAAAAGAATTGGAGAAAATGAGAGATGATATTTGTTTGATATTGTGCAAACTAGAGAAGATATATCCTCCTGCATTCTTCGACATCATGGTTCATTTGCCATTCCATTTGCCGAATGAGGCATTGATAGGTGGCCCGGTTCAATTTAGATGGATGTTTCCAATTGAACGGTAATTCATATTAAACTATGAGTTTCTTATTTTATAATCTTTCTTGTAAATTTTATTTTAAATATTTTTTTTTGTTTAGATTCCTAGGCGACTTGAAGCAAGGTGTAACTAATAAAGCTCATCCGGAAGGATCCATTGCAGAAACGTACATTGCAAAGGAGGAGTTAACTTTTTGCTCCATGTACTTGCGGGGAATTGAGACTAGATTTAACAGAGATGATAGAAATTGTGATATAACAGTTGATGATAGTCTATCCATCTTTTCTGCAAAATGTCGCCACTTTGGAGCAACAACACTTGTTGAGTTATCAGAGGAAGAGTTTAACACGGTACAATGGTTTGTCTTTCAGAATTGTGAAGAGGTTCAACCTTATATTGAGTAAGTATAAAATTATACTTTACATATACATATAATATTATTATACTTTATTTTTTCTTAAATATCTATATCAATGCAGGAAGCACATACATGAGCTATTATTAGCTAGTTGTGGAAACATAAACCAAGAGCATAGAGAAAAATTTCCTTCGTGGTTCAGAAAACATGTAATGGCCTTGCAAATACAAAATATTTCATCATCTTATCTTTACTCTTTCTTTTCATTTTAATTAATTTCTTATTTAAATTGTTGATATTTTATCTTATTCAGATGACGCATTCGTATCACGAGAATCCAACAGAAGTAAATGAATCTTTGTATTCACTTGCATGTGCCCCAAGCAAATGTGTTAAAAAGTACGCTAGATGTATTCTCAATGGCGTAAGATTTCTAACGAAAGACCGTGATGGTCGTCGTAATACCCAAAATAGCGGTATCTCTATGGAGGGTAACCACGGTGAAGATACACTTGAATTTAGTGTTGTATCTGATATAATTCAGCTTGACTATGTGAAAGATAAGCATATTACCATATTCAAATGTGAATGGTTTGATCTTGGGGGCAAAAAACAAAAAGGGTTGGAAAAATAGGGCAATATTGTGAGTGTTCGGATTACCAAAAGATGGTATGAGGACGACCCTTACATATTAGCTAATCAAGCTAGACAAGTTTTCTACATTAGTGATCCTAAAGTAGGAAGTGACTGGCGAGTAGTGCAACCATTCCAGCATAGGCATGTCTATGATGTTTATGATATGCCAGATGATGAAATAGACCCTAATGGTTTGTTTTCTTTGGAAGATGGGGTATACCAAGAGAATGAAGCAAATGATGCACTTGAAGTTAGTGTTGATGAATTAGAATCACTAGGTAGGAATGACGTGGATTCTCAAGATATTGAGGAATCAATGATAGAAACACTACCGGGTATTGCAGAGCTCGTAAGCATAGATGATGTCATTGATCCCGATGACACATTGGTTGACTATTGTAGTAGTGTAGAAGATTCTGAAAAAAGCAACACTTATGATAGTGATGACGACATTGACTGGTATGGTTGTGACTTGTGAGATTAATGATTGATCATTCAAATATCCATTCCTATATTTTTATGTGTTATCGTGTGCTCTATCTGTTGCTTGTCTTTTGATGATGTGTAATATTTCTATGCAGGAACGAAAATTCGGGGTGAGAGTTGGGGAGTGCTCAAGACTGAGTACCAGGAGATCCTTGCCTCTTTGGTACTGATGTGCCAAATTTAGTTTTCATTGTTTATTAAAAATGCCAGAGTTAATATAATATGTTTTATGTTTGTAAAATCTTGGTATTATTTTCAGTTTTCCTTATATTATTTTTAGTTTTCACTTATATTGTGTAAAGTCTTCGTATTAATTAATCTGTTAGTTGATTAATAATCTTTATATTTTGGAAGATAAAGGGAATCCTGAATCATTTATTATATTTTGCATTTTGATGCTAAGTGAACTGACAATTTTCTAATCCCCAGCATATGAAAACAACAATTTAAAACATGAAAAAGTTATCAGCTTCTCCACTGCAGCTATATTTGATTTATTATTCAGCCAAGTTGCAACCAAGCCATGTTGGAATTGATGTAACTACCTTTACGGCTTCACGTGCAGTGACTTATATATATGTTCAAGCATTATCTATTCTTCGAGATGTAAGTTTTTTTTTTTTTTTTTTT